TGGTCATGGTTAACTAGCACATCCAATGCTCTGTAATACTCTGTATATTTCTGCATAAACAATTCTCTGCTTATTATTTTATATAAAGGCAAATTTAGGAAAATAAATTTTGGTATATTTAAGCGATATCTGATGCATGTTACTTCACTGATCAGAAGCACATAAACTGGCAACATATTGGAATGCTACTTCTTCATTTACCCAATAGTACAATCTCAACTTTTTCTTAACTTCTCTCTTGCCACTTCGACTGTTGCGTACTGATGGATATGTGGGAAGAGTAGCTGGATATGCCAGCTATCCTAGTAAGCGTTATTAAAAGTTGATTAAGTAACACCGGAAGCAACAGGGTCCTAATGTAATTGAACATTTCATGTAATTGCCTTTATTTTTCCATTTACGTAAATTGGCTTCTGTAGGAATAAAAAAAACTATCGAATTGAGTAGTTGTAGTGTCATTATTTGTATATTTTTTTTTTTCAGCTACTTGGCTAATTGCACTCCCAACTATTATGGAATATGGGGGCTACGTTCGAGTATAAAAATAATTAAATTGGAAAGCCACCCGTTTTATTAATGATTAATGCTAATTGATTGCTCATTAAAGTTGTTTCACAATAACTACAAAAATAATAAAGATATTAATTTTAATTTTTTTTAATTGGCATATAAACTGGCGCTTGTTGAGACAGACTTTAGATTTTTATTACTTTATTATTAAAAAACATTCCATGACATACAAACATTCAAGATTAGTAAGTAATATGTAAGTAAATTAATCATACCTAGTAGGGATTTGCATTTTCACACAGATAATGCAAAAATATTTCTGCAATAAAATATTTATATATATATTATATAGTAAAATAACCTCTTTCTATTAAACATATAGACTTTTGTTATTGACTATGAAAATAGTGAATTTAATTATATTTTACTTTCTTTTATATATATATGTATATATATGTAATAACAAATCGAATTAATTTTCTAATTAAACTAAAATTAAAAGTATCTGAAACTTTATAAATACTATTAAAATTTTCAGTATGTTATTTTTCTTTATTTTTTAAGCAAAAAAAGTACCTTTTTCAACTAAGAAATATCTAATATTTTTCGAGATTTCTCCTTTAAAAAAATAAAAAAAAACATAAAGGTAGAAAGAAATACTTATTTTCTTTTTTAAAGTGAAAGTTTTTGATTTTTGGAATTTTTTCTACTTGATGTTTAGCTGAACCCTTTCCACATAGACAATCCAATCGACAATTGGTAGTCGACAGTCGACAGTGGATAGTAGATAGTAGAGACAGTAAAAGTAAATTTACCTGCAGCTAATCCCGCAGTTTTTGTCCAAATGCACTATGCACAATAAAAAAATACTGCGCATCAGGTGACTTTTATAATATTTTTTCACATTTCAAGAATTTTCAAAGGAAACGCTGCGAAGCGTTCCCTTCCAAAAAGGGTTATATCCACAGAACGTTCGCCTTTTCTGGTGACCCTTGCCAAGCATAAAATTTTTGTATCTTAAACATTCAATTTTTATGGTACGAAATTTGGCAGTTGTTTCGCTTGCCAATTTATGATATGCGCAGTTAATGAATTTTGAAAAGTTGCTTCTTTTTTAACAACTGAGACACGCAGATACACAGACCCCTGCTCTATTAAAGACGAGAAATACAAAAACAAAATCCCAAACAATTTAGCCATTGTGACATTGTTTTATCAAAATGCAAAACAGGGTTTTTTTCTTCTAGATACTTCAAAGGAATTGAGTTTTGTCAATTTTGTTATTGGCTGAAGATAAAGGATTTCAGAATAAGAAGAGGATATAAAAGAGGATATTAAAAATATTTTTAAATTTACAAAAGCAGTTGCAGTTGTAAGTACTTAATTATAAAGAGAGATACAATTATTATTGTATAAATATTTTAAAGAAATGTAGCTCTAAAGTAATCTAAAGTAAAGTTGATAATATAAATAAAAAACTTTTTGTAATATACTCGAGAAATGTGTGCCTGTCATTATAAAAAGTGTATTTTCAACTCCATATAGTTACCATACACCAATTTTCTTCTTCTCAGAAAGAAGATGGACTTTTCAGAAGTTGACAGATTTTTCGTGTTACAAGTGACATTAATCAAATAAAAAGAACTTAGCCTACGAAAAAAGTTTAGAACGTATTTATATGAGGATTTTCTGATTTTAGATAGTGACAGCAGCTCCCACATAAGTGTTCCCCTTCTGTCCAAAAATAGAAATAGACGATCATACATAATGTGACTAACTCCCTCAGTTTCTTTCTGGCAAAAGCTATGATTTGTTATCCCGAATAAAAAACTTTTATAAAGAAATGCTGATAGTCTTAGTTCTATCTGTTAAAAGAAGAAGAAGGAGTTCTAGAATGCTTTTATAAAGAAATGCTGACACCCTTAGCTTTAACCAACTGAATAAAAATTCCGAATACAAAACTTTTATAAAGAAATGCTGATAGTCTTAGTTGTATCTGTTAAAAGAAGAAGAAGGAGTTCTAGAATGCTTTTATAAAGAAATGCTGACACCCTTAGCTTTAACTAACTGTAAAGGAAGAAGAAGGAGTCCTGATGAATGGCTTTTCTTTACGATCAAAAGAGGAAACTAGTTATCCTGGCGGTTAACTGAAACAAAATCGAAATAAGAGTATAATTCCGATATTCGAGCAAAGCTATTTGACAAAGAATTTTAGAAAACTCAACTCACTACGCTTTGTACCGAAGTAGAAAAGTTACTTAAGATAGCCAACCCTACTTAAAACCGTTGTCAAATCCGTATAACACAGAAATTGGAATATGAAGATGAATATCAAGATGTGTGGCAATAATTAATAAATGGATCGTAGTGGATAACTCTTTATAAAATAATTTCCAAATTAAAGAAACTAGATTTGCTTTATTATAAAAGTTATATTTTTAAAGAGCTATTGCATTATTACCTATAAGCTTATTATGGTCTTAAGTATTGTCTGGATACTGTTTGATATATTTGGACAATAATTTATCTATTGTTGCATATAAATAGGAGTTAGACATTCATACCCTCCATAAAATATTTCAGCCATTTTACATAATATATAATTGATTTTTTTTAATTAAAAATTTTCATATGCACTTTGAATTGATTTTATAAAAATCCTTCTTAAAA